AAGTCTAAAAAGGTTATAATTTTATTGTACAGGTCACTGGTTAGGCCACATTTGGAATGTTGTGTTCAGTCTTGGTCTCCTTACCTTAGGAAATACATTGAATTGTTGGAAACGGTTCAGAGAAGGTTTACTAAAATTGTACCTGGGATGAAGGGGTTATCATAGGAGAAGAGACTGAAATCTCTCAAATTCTTTTCTCTTGAAAAAGAAGAGTTAGAGGGGTTCCGATTGAGGTGTTTAAGATTGTAAAGGGAACTGATAGTGTTTGATGCATCATCTTTTTTCATATTTAACAGTGAGAATAGTAGGATTAGAGGACACAAGTATAAATGTTGGCAGGGTAGGAGTCATCTTCAGCTAAGACAGTTTCATTTTTCTAGCAGGGTGGTTGGTCTTTGGAATGGTTGCCTTCGGACGTTGTAGAGGCAGTAAATTTAAGTGGGTTTAAGAAAAAGCTTGACAGGTATATGAATGATAAGGGCTGGCGTTAATTTTTTTAAAACTACTTTAATTTAGTTTAGAGGATGGAACAGCCGAGATGGACCAACAGGTCCCATGTTGTCCCTAAACATTATGTTATATGTTATATTTAAAGCAAAGTATTAAGCGTCAATGCGGAACTCATCAAAAAATGCTTGACTCTTATCTTTGTGAATTTATATGGAGAAATAGAAACAAAGATGAAGATTTATTCGAAAAAAAAGTATTTAATATCGCAGAATTCACTAAATAAGTATCATATAATGTTTTATTATCAATTATTTTATTTCATTGCATTAATGGTGTTATTTTCAAAACGATCTGTTGGTGGGCACCAAACGGAAAAGATCCTCAGTTTTTATCAAAGTGAAAAATATTTGAAAGAAGCATTAAGAATATACTAGAAAAAAAGGAAGAATACACAAAATCCAAAAGTTTAGCAACTTAAGATATGTAAGCTTAAATTTAACTTGTGAGTACTAGCATCCAGTTATTCCAACCTAAACTAAGTTAAGCTCGCAGGTTCTTACTAATAAGGTTTACATTTATTATGACGAAACGAGAGTCGGTCGCTCGTTCCAAACTACCCAAGTGTAAAAAGGTGAGGATTTTAAAGATACAAGGCTGTGACATCAGTGGAAAACTGCGTTCTGCCAAGTGAAACTATGTTTTCAATTTCTTGTGAAACAACAGAAAATATTCAAACAGATATAAGAAAAAAAAGTGTTGAAAGTTTGTATGTAGTTAAGCACAAAGCTACACCCGAAACCCGATTTTTAGCGTTGTAAGCCTTCAGACTTACTGCTGTGCCACTGCTGAAGGTGTCAAATACTTAACTAATGAAACAGAAGGAATTGTAAAACACCCAAGAAGAATTCAGTGGCACTCAAACTTGTCTTATTGAGAGCCTAAGGAAGGGTTATTTTTAATTGTTTAACACATAGTTGCCAGTTCTACCAGAGTATCGGGTGTTAAAAAAGTAACATATATGAAGTGTTCAACTGAAAATGTACAAACAGTACTTATAATTATGTCACACTTCAATTTTCAATAGTAATGTCTCAGAGTTAAAAGGAATTTTATAAAATAGAATAAACTTTCATTGATGTATCAACATTAAATAGGTTGGTTATTCGTAGGGTTTATATTCTGTTCAAACTTCTCAGTTTTATTTTTCGTCTTATTATCACTCTCTAAGATATTAATATTGTAAAACAAAATGCAAAGATGTTTCTCTCTTTGGTATTCTAAATTTAACATTACTTTTGTTAGGTTGACCCTCAAGGATATAGGATATTTTGATATTTCTGTTGCTTTTTATTTCTATGTATTGGCTCTTGTATTTATCCTTGTTCTAGTTCATATTGTATACAAGTTCCTTAGAACATGATTTATACTAAACTCTAGAACTGTTATTTCACAGAAGCCTTTCATCATTGCATGTGTGCCACGTGTTGTTCCACGCGCCATGACGTCGCCACTCAGATTTCTGAAAAACCAACAACCCGCCCTTTCTGTCACACCGCCACGCGAGAGGCATCTGGGTCCAAAGACCTCCTGGAGATTACGATATTCTAAATCACTTGTTAATACTTGAACAATGCCAACTCGGGAACCTGGTGTTCTAGAAAGTGTTTGGATAAGTCTTTTAATAAACCGGGTTTTCATCTTTCCTGTTTTTAGCTAGGATTTTCGCCAAAAAAACAACAACTACAGTTCTACTTCAAGCTGTTGACAATTATTGATTTCCATGAAGTGGCCAAGCCCGAGACCCCGCGGCGCCTGGTCCCCTCTCACGGCCAGAAAGGGAAGGGAAACATGGAGTCACGGGAAGTTGGCTCACGAATAAGCCAACAAAATATCTGATAACCAAAGCAGTGAAGATACTTTATAAAATGAACTTTCTTAACACAGTTTAAGTTCCACAAAAAATAAATAAAAGAAATGAAAGGAAGCGCATTTCCTTAAAGTTCTCAAGTTTCTAATGACAATAGTTAATACAACATTCAGTTTATAAATTTTGAGTATTGTAAACGCAAAATAAATGCATAAGGAGAGCTTCCAATCTTTATGATATTAATAAACCAATACAGCGTTTCAATGCAACTCACGTGGCGTAAACTGAGTGAAATCAAGAAATGACGCTTACCTTCAACTTTAGGAACTGGCGCCAGAAATAGAACCACAAGTGTCAGAGTTGAGCGGCAAACTAGGTTAAAAAGACCTTCGGTTGTTTCTTTCGGCTTCATGTCTGAACTAAAGTGCTCACGCACAACAACTTAAATGTTTCTGTCGAACAAGGAATAGTTACTGGTCCAACTCAATCACGTTAGTAGAAAAGTCATGTTAAAATTTTAGTTTTGCTACATTTCCCACAGTAATAACAGCCACGTCACTAGAAATTTGCTAGAGTCACCGTACAAGAGTTTTCCAGCTACTCGCCACGCACGTTACGACTGAAACCCTGACGTTACGCCTCAAGATCTTTAAACTGGTGCCTGTGCGTGAGTGTTTGGGAGAAGGGGGGATAAGTTAAGCGCATGCGCTCAAGAGTTTAAACTCCGAACAGACGCTAACCGCACTGAATGAGAGTTAAGGAAACGTTCGAACCTTGAGGCGGGAGTAAGGCGGAGCATAATCTTAATATTCATTAGTACACCAGATGGCGCACAGAAATTTTCTTTATTTAGTACCCGTCTTTCCTGCTGTCCAAAAGTCAGCGAAATATATTTTGAAAGTAACAACATTTAAGTAAAGCTTATATGAAAATGAAATGAGAAAGGAATTAAGATCTATTAAGTTTTAAAAAGTATGATATATGATATAATCATATATAACAAGCTATGATTTACTGTTTTCGGAGATACAGAAGATAACTAGGTTCTCTAAATCCCAAACGAATCACAACATCTGAAGTTTATATATATATATATATATATATTAGTTTTTTGGATATGTTTTCTTCTGGATAAGAAACAAATCCAGAGCTGTAGTTGAGGAACTTGTTTTTATTTCGGTAACAACTTATTACTGTAAATCATAAATAATAATAATTTTACCTTCCGGGTGGTTCAGCGGTTATATCGCTAAAAATTGGATTTCAATACCTGCGATGTGAAAAACACGGATTGTTTATTGTGTAGCATTGTGCTTAACATAATAACAAACAAACGATAATATTTTTTCTTAAATATATCTATATTATCATCTCTTTGTTGTTAAGCTCAAAGCTATTTGTGCGGTGCCAATCCAAAGATCGAAGCTCAAATGTTAGCTTCACGAGACTTCAAGCCCATCCACGGATTCAACCCCAAATTTCAGCGTAACCAGCCCTTAAGCGTACCGCTAAGCCACAGATGGACTATATCATCATTAAGTTTTATCTTCAGTTGTGTCCACATGTGTGTCAGATTTTTCAGTTATTTATTTCTCTGAAATAACAAACCAACGTTTCGCCTCTGTGGCTTCCTCAGGGCTGAAATAAAAAGTTATTATTATTTACTGGAGAGTAAAGGTCGTTTTTCTCTAACTTTATTTCCAACATGTCTAAATACCTCCATGATGCACTACAATTTTTCAAAAACAATAACTGTAGATGCTCTTTAGTAATTCGGGGAATTGAATTTCTTCTTTTAGTTTGAATTTCGCGCAAAGCTATACGAATGCTATCTGCGCTAGCCGTCCCTAATTTTGCAGTAAAATACTAGAAGGAAGGCAGCTAATCATCACCACCCACCGCCAACTCTTGGGCTATTCTTTTATCAACGAATAGTGGGATTGACCGTCACATTATAACGCCCCCACTGCTGAAAGGACGAGCATGTTCGGTGGGATGGGGATTCGAACCAGCGACACTCAGATTGCGAGTCGAGCGCCTTAACCACCTGGAAATTCAACAAGAAACACGAAGTAAAAGAACGAACTAATCAACAACAAGGTTATGAAGGAGGATAATCGAATTCAAACTAGTGGGATGTTTTATTAAAGTAGAAGTATTTAAAGTCAAATTAAATAATTTATATTAGATTATGCATCCAATATCCATGATAGGCTCATTATAGTCAACTGAGTAAACTTGCAATGAATTATACAGTATATTAGCATGGATGATTATAAATAAAATAATTTTTTATGCGGTTGTTGTTAAGCATGAAGCTGCAGAATGGGATGTCTGTGCTGTTGCCAATGCATGGAATGAGCCCCGAATTTTAGCGTTATAACGCTTCAAACTTACCGAAGATCCACCGGGCGGAAAAAGAAGACGGCGTAACCTATAGAAAGCAGAGTGACAGAAACATCGGAGTATTCCTTCGCTAATATATTTTATTTATAAACCAGAAACGTATTTTCATTACATACCGTTCTTTTTTATATTCTTCAGGTGACACTTAACTGAAGTGAGTAAAATAATGGGATTTTTAAGCAATGTTTAATTTTGAAGCAACAAGGTCCAAATTCCAGTTGATGGTGGATTTTGAGTTTTGGAAAATAACAATTTAAAGGACATTATTGAGGCGAACATTTGGCATGGAGCTGGAAGGAAGCTTCCAAACACCTTGCATATTTTTAACTGAAATTTCTTCTAAAATTGAACTAGTGTCATAGAATTCTCTCCAGATGTTGCTTGAATCGCTTGCTTGAAAGTCTTTCTCAGGTAGTATGCTTTAAAGGTCGCAATAACGCCCTGGTCCATTGGTTGCAATAAAGAGGTA